ATACTAATAAGTATCTGGTTGCCTATAATCTTCTGCACCAATTTTGCTCAGTTTTTTTAAAGTAAAAGAGCACTCCTCCGAGATTCGAGCCTTTGAATGGTTACCAAAAGTGCAATGGAAAGTCTTTGTTCAACGAAATGGATCGCTTCCGTCGTTTCTTCATTCCCTGACAGACAACCTAAAAGATCATATGTATGTATGAATGCATGTATATGTATGTATATATATGTATATATATTCTGCGATAAAGATTGTTCAAAGTAATATTTTGTGCATACTGTTTCAATTTCATGGAATAAATCTGTCTGTTTGCACTTCTATGAATAAATGAGGATCTTCAATTTTACCTTATCGAGAAAGTTTTGCAGGTCCATCTCGGACCTCTTTCTTCATTCACAGGGACGGTATAAACGGTTGCAAACTATTATAGTGACACCTCGGAGTATTTTATGAAATTTCTTAACCGTTACCGATTTCTCCAAACCTGCTCGCTTCCAACAACGCTTTATAGCTGTACTTTTCAAACAATTCAATATAACTATATTTATCCCATTCAAAAAGGAGAGGATGAACAGGCTTATGCTTTCGTTGGATTTTGTTTGGAGACGTGTCGTTTCCTCTAAAGCGATGTCGACGAACTACAAATTTGTAGCCATTAGAAATGGATATCTTTTTTATATGTAAGGGGTGAGAGAAGCAGTAATGACCTAAGATGTATTTCTTACTTGACTTTCGGCACCACTTCATATTGTAACCGTCCGTTATCGGATAGGTTTACTGCCACGTTTAGAGTGAGGTAATTATCTCTTGTGCAAACATGTATGGCTTGTCACGACGTTATAGCATCATCAAAGAGTGCTTAAAATGCTGTATCTTCAGGTGGAGTGGAAAGTAGTAAGAAAGTTCCTTAACTCCTGCGAAAACTTCAATGTTTCTGTTTCTCAAAAAAGGGGTTGGTAAGCCCAGGGTCATACACCGGTGTTTCGGAGGTTCGTCCTCCTCATCAGTGACCCCCGCCCCACATTCAGCCCTGCATTGAAGCAAGGAGGGTGGCGTATGTGATGATGGTACAGTGTACTATGACACTGTACCATCACCACCTCTCAGTCGATAGATTTTTGCTGTTAGATCAAAACTATATCAAAAGATCGATGTTTTTGAAACCCCCAAAAAAACATTCAATATAATTCCAAAAAAAGAATGATTTAAGCTCAAAAAAGGGGTTGGTAAGCCCAGGGTCATACACCGGTGTTTCGGATCACTGATGAGGAGGACGAACCTCCGAAACACCGGTGTATGACCCTGGGCTTACCAACCCCTTTTTTGAGCTTAAATCATTCTTTTTTTGGAATTATATTGAATGTTTTTTACGGGTTTCAAAAACAGTCGATCTTTTGATATAGTTTTGATCTAACAGCAAAAATCTATCGACTGAGAGGTGGTGATGGTACAGTGTCATAGTACACTGTGCCATCATCACATACGCCACCCTCCTTGCTTCAATGCAGGGCTGAATGTGGGGCGGGGGTCACTGATGAGGAGGACGAACCTCCGAAACACCGGTGTATGACCCTGGGCTTACCAACCCCTTTTTTGAGCTTAAATCATTCTTTTTTTGGAATTATATTGAATGTTTTTTTTGGGGGTTTCAAAAACAGTCGATCTTTTGATATAGTTTTGATCTAACAGCAAAAATCTATCGACTGAGAGGTGGTGATGGTACAGTGTCATAGTACACTGTGCCATCATCACATACGCCACCCTCCTTGCTTCAATGCAGGGCTGAATGTGGGGCGGGGGTCACTGATGAGGAGGACGAACCTCCGAAACACCGGTGTATGACCCTGGGCTTACCAACCCCCTTTTTTGAGCTTAAATCATTCTTTTTTTGGAATTATATTGAATGTTTTTTGGGGGTTTCAAAAACAGTCGATCTTTTGATATAGTTTTGATCTAACAGCAAAAATCTATCGACTGAGAGGTGGTGATGGTTCAGTGTCATAGTACACTGTGCCATCATCACATACGCCACCCTCCTTGCTTCAATGCAGGGCTGAATGTGGAGCGGGGGTCACTGATGAGGAGGACGAACCTCCGAAACACCGGTGTATGACCCTGGGCTTACCAACCCCTTTTTTGAGCTTAAATCATTCTTTTTTTGGAATTATATTGAATGTTTTTTGGGGGTTTCAAAAACAGTCGATCTTTTGATATAGTTTCTGTTTCTTCCAAACATTAAAGGTTGTTGTTTATTTATGGACTATCTTAGGAATATACTCTCCTATGGAAAAGACGCCAAATAAAAATTTCAAAAATATCTCGGTTCATTGCCTCTCAACTCACCTCCACATACAAAACAGGCGTTCGTTAGAAACATGTTCTGTAGTACAGCAGCTGTTGTGTGCTTTGAAACGGAGCAGAGAATAGAATCCTTGAAACTGGCTCGGAATATAGCAATTTCCAATGTCTGTAAAACTGCAGCTCGTCGGTATAGATTTAAAGGGAATGAGCGTTCCCAAACGATGATTCTAACGTAAACAACATCCCGTAAAATCTCCTTTCACTTCGAAAAAGATAAGTATAGTTTTAAAACGTTGTTTGGAAAGGGTGGACTTGGAGTCATCGATAACGATTATTGAAATACCACCAAATAAATAAAGAGCCAACTAGTTTGCAATAGCTTATACGACCGCCTGTCCGAAACGAATGGATGCATGACATGCCTCAACGGTAGGGAGAGGTATTGCATGAGCACAGGTACAGTCTACCTAATCCCTTGTAAACGTGCGGTGAAGAATATATCGGCGAAACTGGGAGGCCTCTCTATGACCATATTGAAGAATACTTAGACATTAGATGAAATTGATTAAAAAACACTACTAGGCGCGCAAAGGGCACGATACATAGAGAAACGATTGTTGAGGTAGAAAAATTCCTACAGGAGCAAAAACCCCAGCGCAAGATTTTCGAAGAGTTCTGGATTTATAGGGAAAATCGAAATATGAACGGAAAAGATAAATGCCTTGTCATCACGTGTGATTTTGGGCTATATCTTGGACTGATTTTTGTGGTTCGAGACGAACACATTCCTTGTCCATGTAGTATTCGGTGCGGCTAGTCTACATATTGACTAGTGGGACATGAAACAACAAAATACGGTGAGCATCTTATAGAAGAGATTATTATACGATTTAACTTTCACAACTTCGTTTGAATTTCATCTTCTTGGTTATGAAGGTGCTTGTCTATGTGGATTGCACGTCAGTTTGGCTCTTTCAGGCTCTGAAGAAGGAAGAAGCGTCCAAAAGGTAGCGATTGAAACGACCTCTGTTGTGCTATAGTGTGCACAACAAACGTGTTTTAACAGCCTCGTTTTTGTTGAGTAAGAAAACTACGGCATTAATCAATCAAGGCCCAGGTTAATTGATAGTGGGTTCTGGGAATAAGATAGACGACTGTTTTTTTTTTGCTCTACACAAAATGAGATAAAGAAATGCTTCAAGCTTCCCAAATGACAGTCAGAGTTCATCAAGATCTCACTCAAAGAGACCTACAGGAAACTGATTTCTCTTTTCGAACGTTCAAATGCACTTTAGCGAAAGTGGTTACATGACGAAATGGTATTGAAAGGCAAGTAATAAAAACATCTTAATTTTTCTCTTACCTCCCTTACGAAAAGAACGTTTGTCCGAAATATGTACTGAACAGCTACAAATTGTTAGCATGGGAGATGACGAGAAAAGGGAGTCACAACACTTGGCGCGCAAATATCAGTTCCATGCGTACCAAAAAAAAAAAACAACCGCCAAAGTTAAGTCAAAGAAGAGCGAAAAGCCTCGTGACAAAAACAACAGTGTGCATACCTTAATAGTAAAATGCCTCTAAAACTAGCCTTTATGTTAAAAATGAGCACCGCTATTAGAAGATGCTTACAAAGCAGGGGTGTAGGAAATTGTGCAGGAATCGCAAAATTTCTTCTAAAACATTACGTCTTCATTGGTTAAGGACGCTTGTAAAGCATCTATGCAATACAAAAAACTGCGTGCTATGTCCTAATGGTAGAGGCGGAGAATGCACGACTACACAGGTGCAATATACTTTATTTCTTGCAGAACATGTGGTGACGAACAATAGACGAAATAGGCAGATCACTTCATGTCCACATAAAAGTACACTTAAGCACAATGTCAAACAGAGACTCAAACAAACCTCAAGGTACACACAAAACACAGAGGCATAGCGATGAACTTAGTGATAGTGATTAAAATCCTAGATATGAGTCAAAACATCGGCGCGAAAAGCTCTTGGAGCTTTCTGGATAAATTTTGATTCCCACAAATGAACAGAAAGGGAGAGTTCTTGAATATAAGCAATCATATAGCACCCTATCTCAGACTTATTTCTAGCCTGGGCATCACTCAACACTTTGATTCAATTTCACCTAGTAACATGGGGAACACTCAAACGTTAACTCGTGAAAAGGACATGTGAATCCCTAGACTAGATGACACAGTGAGCAGTTTCTCTCGAATAAAGTAACGCTCACGAATGTCATAGATTTTCATGTATACCATAAATATTTCGCATAATTATACAAATGGCGTTACATGAATATGTTCAGACTGTGAGGAAGGAAAGTCTTCCGTCGAAAAGTGCCATCGATTGGCATTAATCGTTATTGCTGTAACGTATTACGTGGCTGGCCTATGCGATATTTGATAGCACGGCACGCAGAACGATGTCTTTCACCTTCAACTGTTGATGCAGATCAGAACTTTGGATCCTATCTCCTATTTGTAAGGCACGTATTTGTATAGCATCATCTTTTCAACTGCTTTGTCAATTACGCCAACTGATTTTCATCTTGCTTGCAGAGCGCGAAGGTTTGTGAAGCATGCGATTAGCCAGGAATAATCGCTGAGTCGGAAGGAACGTTAGTGGCTTTCAGTGTTCTTTGTACAATGAACCCAATAATGTAGAGTGGTGTGCAAAAACATTTGTGCATCAGCTGGGATTCAAACTCAGATTTCACCCTTTCCGGAGGCGCGTGCTAAACCGCTGCTCTACCGCCTCCCGTCTTTGACACCACTCTTTCTACTCTGCATCTGCATCTCTTTATCTGCCAACGGCCAACCATCCACGAATTGATGTGGGCAGTCACTACCGACATTGAACCCTTTCATGCTGAAAGATACTGGATCTCAATAATCAATCAGAATTCATTTTATTTGACCGCCCATTGTGGTGCTATGATGGTACAATAAACGCAATAATGTAGAGTGGTGTTCTTTGCTTTCTTCATTACATCTTTGGCGCTCTCAAATACTCTTTGAGCTGCCAGCCGCCTCCTGTGCTCAACTCTTGAGATGAATTGTTTATCATATTGACATCCACGTCCGGATAGACGTAACTAGACATTCGGATATACCAATTTCGTTAAGCGTGAGCTTCCAAAACCAAATCTTCTGGCACGAACATCGGAATCCTAAACGAATATTATTTTTAACAGCTTTGAAAAACCGAATCAATCCTTAAAAAGGATTTGACAAGATTTGTTGTCGTATAGATCTAATCTGCAATTCTAAGGACAGCTAATAGGGAGAGAATGAAGGGGTGTTATCTCAACTTACAAGCGGCGAAGTCTTTTCTTTGATTCTTTTAAGATTTCTTAGCTTTTTTTTTTCAAAAAAAGTGACTAAGCATAACTCTGACTAATCAATACCAATGTGATTTGCCAGTTAATGAACTGTTGTAATGCCACAACACACATCGGTTGAACAAAAATAGTTATCTGGAAAATATCGTTGTTCAATTTCAGATTCACCAACAGTGGCTGATGCCGAGAAGAAATGCAATCCAAACGGACCTAATGCGAGATTCGAGCAGCTCTGTCCACCACATTTTGCCAAATCGCTTTTGACAAATTTGCCATAATAATGTTTGATGTCTACACAGATTTCTCTTGCTGCGAAAAGAGGTTGTACGAAAAAGAAAAGCGTTCAAACCGAAAGGGTTCCTGAGATTGATGTGTGATTAGCGGGAACAGCAGCGGCACCTTTGTCTATGCTACATAGCATTTCTTTTTTTATTTTAGTGCAAAATCCCGCAGCACTGTTGCCAACAATGATGCAGTTCTGCTTATTCTTCTCGTCGACTGAAAGACTTTTATTGTCATTAAAGAAAACTTCTTCTAGCAACATAAGAAAACCGAAAAGCTGAAAGAGACTATAAGTATTAGTTTTCCTCCATTCTTTAAAATACTTCAAATCATCACCTACCATATTCTTACATATTATGAGGAATTTACGGGAAAACTCGTACGGGAATGTAGCATAAATTTGAAATTTACGGGAATGTAGCATAAATTCGAATCTGGAAATTATTAGGTCTCCAACTAAGTCCCCGAAGTTGATCCGAGAATTCAAGAATTCATTATTTCAATTAATCGAAAGTGTCAAATAAAATAAGTGAAGTATTCTCAAATTCAAAAGTTCGACTTTCTATAAACCTTGGCATAATTAATTGTTATATGAAAATCGTAAAAACTTATCTTGATTAGCTGACGCGAGGTTGGTAAATTAGTCGTAGAAATTCGGCTGATGTTTTGCGAGCCGCTTTCTTCAGAGCCTGAGCGCATATAGTATTAGTCTGTTTGAATGATTCGGATGGTCTTATTTATATACCGCCTAGGTTAGGTTCAGACTAATACTAGTACCTGCCCTATCCAGCATATAAAAAAGACCATCTGAATCATTCAAATAGACAAATACTATGTGCGCTCAGGCTCTGAAGAAGGCGGCTGGCCGAAACGTCAGCCGAATTTCTACGACTAATTTAACAACCTAGCATGAGCTAATCAAGATAAGTTTTCTCGATTTTCATATAGCTATTTTACAGCAATCCACACAATAGTGCAATGAAGTGATTTTCTCAGAGTGATTTGGACGGGCAGTTCAAAAGTAACATTAGTCGAAAGTTTCTAACTTTATCAAGCATCTATTTGAAGTATGAGAAGGATGCCGCACGGAACCGGGTTCCGCTTAGTGATTCAGCTAAAGCAACACGGAATTGTTACATCACGCAGCTGCTACAACGCGGAGCGATCATAACACGGAACTGGTAGAAGACAGAACAACAATGGCACGGGATTGCTTATGCAACTCCATTCGCCTTCAATAAAAAACTTATAAGAGAGCGGATGCAATTACACCGCTGATTCTGTTTTCAAATTTATCGTTGACGGCGCAAACAAAGCAGAATCAGTACGTCATGAGTTGGACAACTCTCACTGATACATTGAAGTTAAGATTGGATTTTTCTTTCCTTGATTGCAAATGAAATCTCTTCTAAATGACCTTTCATTACAGCCTCTTTATTATGTAACTTTGAACACAAAGTTTCCAGGTACACGTCTAAACCTTCGTTATATGTATAGTAATTCTGTGGGCTGATGGATGAGTTCTGCTATCTAATCGCTGCCCTCTGGCGTATAAATGATAAACCAGTGATACTCCTAAGCACTCCCTGTTTGATTGCGCTGCTAAATCATAAAATGCGACTAGCCGGTGCATTGCTGTCATACAACGAGCAGCAGCGTTTCCTTGACTTGTCATTTTGAAAATGAATTTCTAAATACTCTTGAAACCGATGTTCAGCTGCACCCTTCCTACCAGAGTAGCTTCCATTTTTCACAGTGTCTACTTAACTCTCAACAAGATGTACTCTATCACTCCTAATAGAGCAGTCTTTGTGTACAAGACCTGATGATTTCAAGCAATTTTATTTCTCTGCTACCGATTCGCGCACTAGTTTATTTCCCCTTCTTCATAATTAAGAAATTTTTGATGTCACCTCAGTAACAGCTTTGTCTTAAAGCTTTCAATATGATTCTGTGGAAATTCTTTCTATGGCTGTTAGTTTGCCTACCCAAAGTAAGGAATTTCTGTATGCGTACTTATTGGGCGACGCTAAAGAGAACACTAAAGTCGAAAAGCGATTCCTACATTCTAGAAATTTGTTGCCAAAAACCTGTCGCAGTAATATTTCATCTACTTTTTTGTAAATCCATATTCTTCTAGAAATTATCTTACAAACTGCACTTATATCGTCGGTTCTTCAATTGCCATCGATTGCTCCTCGATTGTTTCATTTTTCTAGAAACCGCTTTTTATGTCTCAACATCAAAAGCAAGATGCCGTGAACCACTCCAAACCGTAACACCTGTGACATTGGGGCATTCACTGGAAGTTCTTCTCCACTGATCGCTTCAACTCACCTCAAATCATTCAGAATTCGACATGCTACTCAGCTCACTAATTGCTCTTGCTTGTTTTAAGATTGTATAGTCTGCACATTGCTTGCTACGAAGGATTTTGCTCTGAACTTGGAAAATTGGCAATTTATATCCAAGTATTAGATACGTTGTTGCCTTGAAAGCCCCTAACGGAAAAATGTAAATTTTTTTTACGACTAAATCTGCAATTTGCCTAGATTTTTGAAGTAAAAATGAGCATGGCAAGCCATTTGAGCGATCTCTTTATGATTTTTCTACTAGCTACAATCTCGACAGTGTTGGGATGTGGAGTACTGCCTGCGGGTCAAGGTAATGAGCAAAAGATCATATTTGAATGCAACTTCTTCAAATCTTAAGAGAAAGTTTTTAATGTTTCGTTGGAGTGATGATTAAGCACTTTGTCAATAGCGACAATCCGTTGCATTTCGTGGCTTCTAATGAAAGGAGTTCGAATCTGAAATGACTCTAAGAATCAGGCTCAAATCTTCATCCAACATGACTAAGTGGGATTACGCAAAAAGAAATGAATCTCGTTAAGCGAGCACAAGGACCTTTACTGTCAGCGGGTTCTCTTTGCCTGTCGCGATGATTTATGTAGAAAACGCTGGAGAATCTGCTCGGGTTTCTGGTATTGCTGCTGACAAAGGAGCAGCTCAGACTTTTGTGCAACGCCTTGTGATACAAACAGTAAGTTGACTTTCCAGACTTCTTAAGCCTTCCTTTTCAAGAACTGAGATGGCTTAGGAGGTGAACTCGAATTTTTTGATAATTCAACCTTCTAGTGCTAACATGACTTGCCTCACGTGATTTGAATGGAATGCATTTTCGAATAAACCTTTCGAACTAGTGGAAAAAAATCCCTTTTAGGTTTTTGACGTTCTCGAAAGCCAAGCCCGTGCTGCTTTTTTACCCGACCCTGTAATCTCGACCATTTTAAATCAAATTACTGTTAACATCACTTACGAGCCACTGAAATGTCAGGCAGTCGCCCTCAAACTAGAAGAAATGGGTAAGTATCTAATAATCAACGTTTATATGTTATGTTTCTGAGAAAAATATAACAGGTATTACAAGGGCAGAACATTGCTTAATATTGCCCAAAAATTTGAACAATTTATAGGAATTAACAAAATAGTCTCTTAGAACATGTGATAAACTATCACAAAACCACAAAAATCCCAGCTTTCGAAATTGATGCCATAATGCAATATACGATGTCAGGTGACGTGTCAAGGTATTTTGGAGAACACAAGAAAATTAGTGTACAGACCTGTTCTCACATCTTTCAGTTCCTTGTTGTGGTGTAAACGGTCTTACTAGGAATCGTTTTTTTTTTTTTTTTCAGTCGAAATGATGGCGGCGGATAAGATTTCACAGCGCTGTATCATCGCCGGCAACACGGTCACGGGAATTTGCACTTATGCAATGGGTGGAGGAGCCCAGATGTGTTTGAATGCAGCGGGGAATGTAATGATAACTTCCCCCGCCAAGTACACCTCAATTTCAGGAACACTCATGGTTTGAAGAGCTTTATTTTTCACACAAACTTGCCTGGTAAAGAAAATCTATGTAGACAACAAACATCATCATGGCAAACTGGTCGAGAACGATGTGGCAAAGTGTATTGAACAGAGCGGTTCGAATGTTGGCATCAGGTCGAATTGGCTCAAATTTCATCTCGGCATCTGTCACTGTCGGCGGAAGCTAAAGTCATGCTGTGATGGTTTTGAACAAATGTGTTCATTAACCAATGTTCGTAACATTGTGGCTTTAATAA